TCATTTTCGCAGTTAGCAGATTGCCCAACTCACTGACCTCGGCCACGGTTGAGTTGACTGTGAGTATAAAGGCCGAATCGGAACCAGTTGAGGTTTAAATCCTACCAAAAATTCTTGTTTTCTTTAGTTTTACCATCACTGCAGATGCTTCACATCTTTCGTTCGGTAAATGTCTTTTGCCAGCGAAAAGCACCGTGTAGTCAGTCTGTTAGACTGCCAACGTCAACCCGGGATAATCAGTCACTAGTGGGGAATAGGTCCAAAGGGAGAAAACAATTCTACTGGATTCAGCAGCGGATCTAGAGAGAGGATTCAGCGTATCCGCAACACTCCCCCCTACGGGGGGGGAGTGTTGCGGATACTAATCCATACTAACCCCCTTCTAACCCATGCCTGTGACATTTTACACTACTTGTTGGAAACAAGAATTATTGCAGGACAACTTTTACGACCAAACTGGTTGAATATCTCCTTTGTTTGTTTGCTCCTCCCCAGCCTTCTTTTTTTTTTCCCCGCGTAACCTTGAGTGAAGAAGAGGGGGGTGTGCGTTGGTCGAGAAGTAATTTTAGACCACCCCTTCCCTCCCCCTCTCTCCCCAAATAAAACATTTTTATAACCACCCCTGAGATCAACATATGTATCAATAGAACAAATTGAAGGAGGCTTACGCGTGAAACACTTAGCGGCCACCGTCCGATTTCCAGGTTGTCCATTTGGTGAACTCAGGAGAGCTCTCCACACGGCTCCGAACGCCCCTCGTCCAATGACGTCTTGAAGCAGGACACGGTTGACCGCAACCTCCCACTTATCTGCCTCTGCATTCAATGGCTCCATCTGAATTGCCTGCTCTTGGTCAGGACTAAATATAGGAAGTCAACATTGTATACTTTCAGGTTCAAAACAAAGAAAAGTGATAAAAAGAAAAGAGAAATCAGAGGGTAAAAATTTGATTTGCGAGGATAACATGATTGGCGAGATAATCTCTCTTGCTGATAGTGAGAAAACAATGTTTTTAATAAACCAAGAACATAAATTATAACAAAACATATCAGTAATTATTGTTATTTAGTACCCTGTGTCAATCGGATGAAGTTGAAATCAAACAAGAAACAGTTGGTTTTAAATCAGAAAATTGTACGTGCATTTCAATTTTTTTTTTAGTACTAAATCTAAGGATAAATCTAACCGAAAATAGGTAGAAGATACTAATGAGATAAAAAAATTAAACAAAGGAACTAATGAAGCTGATTCTAACAACAATTGATGCATGTTAATAATGCATCATAAGCACGACAAAAGTAAAGTCACTGCGATATGATTTTTGTTATCGTCATCATGCAATGGTGTAGTTTTTTTTTTCTTCTCTCGATGAATTTGATGAATATAAGATAAAATCGTTGACTTACAGTGCCATAGCTGCAATTCCAAATGATGAATTAAAGGGGATAAAGAAGGTAAAACTTTGCATTAATTTATCAAATCGAATATTCTAATCCAATTTCTGTGTAATGGCAGAATAATTTGAACTTGCACAGATTAGGGACGTGATATTTGCTGAATTTATAATTATTTTCAACACACTGTTAAAAATAATGGAAATGATAATGATACCATATACAGATGTGAAAAAACTCTGCATTTTTTGGCGGCACGCGAGTGATTCTTATAAAAATATCTCTACTCTTAGACTCTTAGCTCAGTGTATCCCACTCCCCCCTCAGTGGACATATTCAATACGTTTAAACATTTCCTTATTTTACTTGCAGACAAAGAAATCTGAAATAACACAGAAAAATGGACGTCACCTTTCCGACGCTTGCAGAAATACCAGGCAATTAGCGAAATGACAATCGCTGCCGCCACTGATCCACCAATGTAATACCACAAAGTGTTGAAACTTTGCATAGCTCGTGGCACTTGCTTAGCTAATTGTGTCAGATAAATATGTGGCCATTAGAAAAATCTCGTGGGTAATAAAAGTTCTAATAAAATTTAAGTTGTTTGGAATAGCTTTGGAATAGCTTGGCATATTATTTAACCCGTGATTTACACCTGCTCTTAAAAACGAAATACCTGAATTTCACAGAGCGATGCAAGGTAATTTCATGTAAATGAGTAAGGTGACCCATAGTCTTAATCTATTTGCAAATATATTTTTTTTAATCGGTAAATTCGTATGTTTTTTTAAGACACAACGGTAATACCAGCTTACCTTTGACGTTTATTTTAACAAAGGAACGGGCAACAAAACCGAGCTTGTTACGTGCCTCACAAAAATACACACCACTGTCCTTCTTCACAACTCCAGTTATAGCAAGTTAACTCTTTTTGTCATCGAATCGTGTATCAATCTTTGCTCTTTCGAGTGGTGAGTCTCTATCTTTTTTCCAAGTTACATTTATTGTTTCACTAATGAAAACTTATCGTAAGATCATGACTCCTTAGTTCCTTGGTCTTCGGTATTTTAAAGGAAACGGATGAAAAGAGAGAAAAAATAGGTCTATTTAAATTTGGCTTAAACTTCAAAAACAAATGCTTTTTTAAGTTACAAGTTTGGTAAGTAACATAAACAACACTATAGAGTTTACCTGTCACATCGATCCAGAAGGAAGATTTTGCTTCAGTATCATCATTTTTAGCAGTACATTCATAATTGCCTTTATCTTTAAGCGTCGCTCGTCTAATAACCAGGGTGTTGTTTTTACTAATTAGCACTCCATCCTTGGTCCAGTTGACAGATACTTTTGGATCACCTCCCAAATAACACTCTTCTTTAAATGGGGAGTGAAATGCAATGGTGAGATTTCTGAATTCTTTAATACGGGGTGGAACTGCAAAGTAAGCATGTAAACACAAATTACAAAATTAGAAGCCACCCCAATCCCCCCCGCCCGCAAAAAGAAAAAAAAATTAATAAAAAGAATAAATACCAATTAAAGAGAAGAAGAAGAAGAAGATGAAAATGAACCACTTTTTGATCATATCAAACGAATACTTCCAAAAACCATGTCAGTCAGACTATATTACTAACTTAACCATGAAATCATCAAATTTTTAGAGCGAAAACACAAGAGCAATTGTAAAGACTTTCCAGTTCTTCGCAATAAATAACTAATGAGGCGGTCTGAAAAAATTATTCATTCAGGACCTGGTCCTCACTGGTGAATCAGTCGCAAGTAATAGCTGAAAGCCCTTGCATTTTTTTCATTTTTCTGATAATTTTCTGCGATGACCCTACCCTTAGCTCAGACCCAGACCCCTTAATTTAGAGTCGGGCCCACTGACTATTGATCCACACTCCGTAAACATATCAAATGCATAATTGATTTATAATACGGTTGTGAGCTTTACGAACACACCCTTTACAGAAATATTAACGTCTTTGGTGGAAACGCCTGCTTCATTCTTTGCCTCACAAGTGTACCACCCTTCGTCCTCCTTTGTTATCTCAGTAAAGAGGAGAGACAAACTATTTCCTTTCAATGTAGTATTCTTGAGCCAGGTGATCTGAGGTTCAGGGCGACCCGCCACAACTTCACACGTCAAGTTCACACTATTTCCTTCTATGATGAGATTGGGTGCTCCAGAAATAACCACTTCTGGTCGAACTAAGAGGTAAATAAATGACATGTCCTTGGAAAATAGGAGGTATTCCAGTATCATTTACACTGATCACATTAGACACCGTAACTAAATGAACATTTGATAATGACTCTAGCGCTTTATATGTATTATAATCGTTTGTCAGATCGTGGACCTTTCGAACTTCGTATTGAGGTCTACATACTCCTATTATCTCGCACCAATTTACGAAAGACAGAAGGCGCATCCATGGGGAGTATGGTCTTCGCCGTTATTGCCAATCTACACAAAGAGAGTTATAGGAGCAATCGATATCCTACCAGCGAAGGATCTGGAAACGCTATGTATATGACACAAGCAAGAGCCCGTGGTTTGTAAGATTCCCAACAAGTACGCCAAAGTTTACATCAGCGGAACAGGCAGACCTATGCAAGTAAGGTTAAACGAGTAATATGGCAGATCGAGAAACGACATGCTAAGACAAAGGCCTCTGCAGTTTCAGAAGAAACCTGGAAACCACCTGCTCTGGACTGAAGTGGAGAAGAAACATGGATGCTGACCACAAGAAACACAATAAACAGGATAACTTTGCGACAGTAGACTCCAAAAGGACATTTGGTCAAAGTGTGCCAATCGAAGCCTGTGTGGGATTCCAGCCAAACAGAGAGTTTCATAAGGTCATGCACATCTACCGACCTTATAGTACGAAGAAGACACAATATTCAGTCAAAAAGTCGCGATCCATATCCAAAGTGACTTCATGGCGAGACAAACGATTATACTGCATTCAGAAAGTGAATTTGTCACCACAACCAACAGAAGTCGATTTAAGCACATTACCAGAATGAAAAGAAATTATAAACTTCATCAAAGGGGACTTACTATGAGTTCTGACGAGGAAACCACACTGTTGACAAATAACTTAAGTATAACTTTTTTAACATGACACCCTACTTTCAAACAACTAAAATCAACAAACGTATTCACGATAAAATGTCGCTTCACATGGCTGCGGATATGAACAGCGAAAAGGTTTTGAAATTGAGTAAATTAAATTAATCACATTTGAAGAACTGACTTGATGACTTTCTATATATTATCTCATTGGTCACTCACTTATAACTCTCACTCGTATGTGGTTATCTTTGCTTGTGACCCTCTGTGGTCCTTTAGTTTGTTTCATGGCACAGATGAATGTTCCATCGTCTTCAGGCCTTACATAACTAATACGCAGGCTGCCGTTGGATACTGGAGTGAATCGTATCGGATCTAAGGACTTTCCTCCTTGCTTACTCCAAGAAATCTGTGGACTTGGTTTTCCATCAGCACTACAGCTTATAATGCCAGACGTGTACGCAGTTAAGGTTTGCTGGCCCAGCGTCTTCTCAGTAAATCTTGCTTTTGAAAGGAGTAATGAAAAGCACTAATATTATAGCTACACTTTTGAAAGGTCAGAAGTGTACTTGTCTTACATGACATTGTCCTGCATGTTAAGCCTATTTCTACCAGATAAAAATATGTGTTTTCATACCATTAATGTAGACAATGTAATATTGAATATGTTCCAATATCAGGCATTCATATACTCCTCCATCAGACAGTTGCACATCATCAATGACCAGATCACCATTGTCTTCAGCCCTGATCCTTCGAGAAGAAGAGTTTGTTATTTCAAGCTTTAGCCCATTGATGACCCATCTAGCATGATTGGTTTTATTTTGTATAGAGCAGTGAAGCCGTTCTTCGCTACCAATATCAAAATAGAGTTCATCTCTAAGCAACACTTTCTTGTTCTCTGCAAAAAAAAAGGTTCAATTTAGAAGATGTCAAAATAAGTAAAATTTTTTGTAATTAACACTACAAGAAGGGATACAAAAGATGCATATATTTACCTGTACTAATGCCTTCATTGGGAAATGTTTTGAACTTTGTCGTACTTAAAACTATGTTACATTACTCCAAACAAAATCATACTAGCCGTTATTAAAGTAATGTAACCTTTGAACAGAATAATATTGCATCCAAAGAAGTTATGAAACCCATTAAAAAAATAGGTAACCCTTAACCGAAGTCAGATAATCTTAAGCTGTCATATTACCTTCTTGACAGTCATGTACACCTTAGCTAACGTTATTCCACCTCAAGATCAAACTGAATCATCTATAAGAAGGGTAAGTTCCTTAAGAAACAGTGGTGCTGCGTCTGTGGGAGAGTATAGCACCCGCTCTGACGAAGGGCTAACGCTCGAATTTCAGCTTTGAAACTCTTTACGGAGGCAAATTTACATTATCAACTAAGTTGAAGAAATCAAAATCATCTAAGTCATTTTAAGCCAATTCATGTTACTCTAAACTAAGCCATGTCATCCCCAGTCAAAGTCATGTCGCTATCTAAAGCGTAAAATCTGCGAACAGATATATGCTTGTCCGCGAGTCATTCTTTACCAGAATGTTTTTAGAAATGGTCTGGTCTTCTGTAGATCTCAATTTACTCTGATTTTCCTCCACTCAGAAGGTCAATGGGAAGAAAAAGACAACCACGAAAACCGGAATAACTAATCAGACCTAAAAATTTAGTTGCTTACTTGGTTGACACAACGCTTGAGAACCCTTGCCATCCAACTGACATTGAGATGAAATATTTGACTTTCCATCAAGGCGATTGCATAATGCAAGTTCTGACTCCTCTCCGGTGCAAGAGACATCAGACATTGCAAAAGGTATTCCCTCATCCTTTACTTCTGACCCAACAAATTCCGCCAAAGCCTCTTCAAAGCCAAGTTGACGACAAATAACTTTGACATCATCGAAATCCCACTCATTCCTGCATATCTTCGCCCATTTCCCCTTGTAAAATACTTCCACTCTTCCTCCATACTCCACATTTGCGCCTTTCAAGCGAACAGGAACTTATGAAATAACAAAAATTCGAATTTATAAGGATGGAAAACACTAATTATCGAGAAGCAAGAATGGCTATAAATCACAAAATGATAAATAGTTCATGCCAGTCTAAGTGTTTTGTTTAAGAGAAATTCTAGGTGCAAATTATTGTTTGTTGTCAGATGTGAATCACGATGTTTTCATAGTTTCCCTGCTGCGATGTTTCCGACGGACCTCTTTTACATTGCTTCGTGACTGTGCTTCAAATTCTTAAACTCATCATTTACCCTAAAATAAGACAAACCAGATTTTTTTTGGCAAAAATTTTAGAACATTTAAGACGTGTTTTCTTAGCCTTAAAACGTTTACTTTCAGAGAACACAATGGGGTGATTTACATTTTAAGCTAGAACGTCATTTTTAAAGCATTTCTCAAGAAAAAATCGAGAAAAAGACGTTTAGTTTAGTATAAGTAAAGTAAAAAATTGTGAAATTCCCAAATTGCATGAAAGAGAGAGAAAAAGGAAACTAGAAGCATGCAATAGTTTCAAGGAAACTTAATGGAGGGTTTGGAGGTTGTGAAGTTTATGAAACTCAAATGCATGTCTGCGCAAACGTCTTAGGATGTAAACAGTAGAAACAATTTTTAGCGTTAGAAACCTTTTTAGAACCAAAAAGATACCTGAAGACGAACAATCATTGTTCTCGGGAAAGTTTTCATCTCTGGAGTGTGAGTAAATCTATCAAGTTACCATCTTTGGAAATCATGTGGATATTACATGAGTGCAGTTCATAATTACCTTCGCAGACTTGTTGTTTCTTTACCACGTTGTTTTGACATGTGGTCGGAATTGTACAGTTGTAGTGGGTGGACATTGAAGCATTGCCACGTTCTGCGTACCATGTGCCATTAGCATAAACACCGTTGTTATAGTAGCCCATGGCCATGCAGACTGAATTTTTATCTGCGTCATCCCATTGACTGGTACAAAGCGTTTTCCAGCTGCTATTTGAGAATATCTCCATTGTACCGACAGATGGGTTCCCCTTTGTTTCAAAACGCAGGGGAAATCCTTCAAAATATTCAACCAAAAAAATTGATAAATAAGGATAAAAATAAACAGCGTGGACTACTTCAGCTTGTGTAAATTTTTGTGTTGATGATGTTCCCATATAATTACCCAGTAACAGAGGTCCTAACATTGTTGAAAAATTTATTTTCAGTTTTGTGGTGGAAGAATTTCCTGTGTAGCTAACTTGATTTTCTTTACCAGAAGGTCAATGCCAAAACTTTATTTAGTATCTGAGACCCTCGCATTATTAAACATGTTTCTTGTCAAATTAATAAAGGGGGTAAGTTTCTAAGGAAACTGTGGTGCTGCGTCGGTGGGAGAGTAGAGCAGGTAATTTAGTGTTAACAACTGGGTTGAAAACGTAAATTGATCACCGTAATTGGCCAAGAATAAAATAGCTGACGTTTAGAGCTCTAGCTCCAGAGGAATGGTGGGTTGCGTGTAGGTTTATATGCAGCAAATGGAGCTACGCTATTGGTGGGAATATGGTGATGAGAAAACAGGAATAAATTAGTTGAATGAAAAGCGCTCGTGGACACCGTTGGGATTAAGAGTGCCGATTTGGAAGATAAATTTTTGTTCTAGTATTTTTATAACTGCCTAGATGTAAGGAAAGGCCGCAAACTTCCATATGTTGTTTAGAATGATTAGGGAGATTTAAGTGTCCAGCGACTGGTTTGGATGCATCCTTGTCATTTCTTTCCACGTCGCGAAGGTGTTCTCGGAATCGGTCACTTAGTCGTCTAACTGTTTCACCAATGTATAACGTATTGCAATAAGTGCAAGTTATGCAGTAAATGACGTTGGCGGAGGTACACGTGAAGTGATCAGTGATCTAAATTGATCTCTCGGGTCCTGATATTTTCTCAACGTTATGAATGAAAGGACAAGTTTTGCATCGTGAGTGAGCGCATTTGAAAGTTCTAGATTGGCCATTGGTTTGAGATGAACATCTGACCAAAAAGTTACCTATGTTTTTGTCACGTTTGAATGAAATAAGTGGGGTTGCGACAAGATAGCATCAGTCTTTGAATCGTTTTGGAGTAATTTAAAGTTTTTAAAAATGATAGATTTAACCGCGTGGTTGTGAGGGTGAAATGTGAGAGTGAATGGAATGCAGTCCGCAGCGTTTTCCTTCTCAGTCGTTTGTGGTGCTGACTGTCGATCAATTTGTTGGGCACGATGATGGCCCGCTTGAGCGAAAGAAACAGGATAGCCACGTTTATCGAAAAACAGTCGGAAAAATTAGAGTCGTCACTACATAAACAACGAAGTCTGAGAAACTGTGAAAAGGGTATGGAATTCTTAACGTGCGATAGATGTGAAGATGAATACAACAAGTAACTGTGTGAATCTGTAGGTTTGTAGTAAACGCTAGTGCATAAATCGTTGTCGTCAATTGAAATTTTGATGTCTAGACGTCATGCTGCAAATAAAGCCGCAAATAAAGCCACAAACAACCCACAATTCCTCAAATCGCTCTGACGAAGGGCTAACGCTCGAAACGTCAGCTTTTTTACTCTTTATGGTGGCCAATTTTCGTTTTCAACTCAGTTGTTAACGCTAAATTACCTGCTATGTTTCTTGTCAGTAGATGATAGTCAGCATCACCGGCTTGAAAAAAGGGTATTGCTACGGGTAGTCCAACGAAATTCGTAATCGCCATTGCTCAGATAGTGCAGACTTCTTATAGAGTGACCACAATTATCAGCGAAAACTTGTGCCTAGAATTTAGTACCTATTGCAGCACTAATGATAGTGGAGATTTGTTTTGTCTCTTTCAAGAAGAGCATGGCGTATTCCGTACATGTACAGAGTTTGTGCAATTATGAAGGATTTCTGACTTATAATGACTTTTAATAATTTGTGCATTTCACATACTTGGCCTGGATAATTATGTGATTAAAGTTCAAACTCAGAAGTTCCGTTCATTTGGTTTTGTTCTAACTTTAATTACTGTGTTTGTTTATTTTTGTTTCAACAAAGATGTTTTTAGCCACTGAAATTAAAAAAGCTGAAATTTTATGTTACCTTCACGGCAACTGGACATGTTGCTACATCCTCTCAGGAGTGCACTGGTCCCATCGCAGTGTTTCCCACCATATGCTGGTTCCGGATTGGTGCATTCTCTCTTTCTTGTTTGTATACCACCAACTGCCTTGGTACAGTTACTCCAGGAGTTCCACTCACTCCAGCCACCATCCACCACTAACAATGTTGTAAGCAAAAACATTTGATAAACAACCTTAGACAACATATTTGGATCATTTATCAAAATAAAGTAAGACAGTGCTGCAGTCTATATTTCTACCTTTCTCTATAATTACTATGAATTTTCAAGCTAACATTTGGTTATGGTAAGCTCATTAATTTGGTATTTAGCGATGCTGTAGGGTTTGCAATGAACTTATCGAGATACGCTTGTAAGTGCAAAAATATAATTTGAAGGTGATAATGCGACGCGACCACAAACGCCACATGGGGAGTCCGTGCCGGTCTGTCTCTACCTTTATTCTCATGTTGATAGTTTCCAAACAGACCCCGTCTGTCTGTAAACTGCAAGACAGTTGCAAGAGAGAAGTCAGACTGCAACAAGGCTATTACCACACTGTAACCAAGCTGCAACACAACAGAGGTAGGACTTCTGAGACCTCGAAGCAAAACTAGGGAAGGATTGGTAAAAAAAAAGCATCATAAGCAGTTTCTGTCACCCACCCCTTTTTTTAAGACATGGAAAAGGACAACAGGATGTCTGACTTCTCTCTTGTCAAAACGTCTGACTTCTCTCTTGCTACTGTCTTGCAGTAGAAAGACAGTAGCAAGAGAGAAATCAAACTGCAACAAGGCTATCACTACACTGTAGCCAAGCTGCAACACATCAGAGGTAGGACTTCTGACATCCCGAAGAAAAACTAGAGAAGGATTGATAAAAAAAATAAAAGAAGACCATAAGCAGTTTCTGTCACCCTCCCTTTTTCAAGACATGCAAAAGGATAACTGGATATCATGACTGCAAAGCAAGGTTACCTGTCAGAGAAGGAATACACATCAAGGAAAATTTGTCTTTAAGAATATTTAAGGAACTTAGCTTCCGCTAAAGAAGACATGCAGACAAGCCTTTTACAGGAATAGCAGGCTCAATAATTATAGCAATTCCTTTGAAAAACACCATTACACGGAGGAGAGAGAGGGAAGGAGGAGAAAGAAAGGGTTGTGGCCATGACAATGGCAACTGAGTAGCAGTTGAATGAAATCTGCTGTTTTAGATATCTATCAGCAGCATCGAATAAAAGTTAAAAGAATGTTACAACAACAGAACAATTAGATCTTTATTGTTACAATCAATAACCACATGACCTAACACCACAGACAAATAAACAGAATTTCCAGCACACACTTAACATGAAAGACAAATATCAACAATGTCACATAATTTCACTGTAGAGCACCGTACAAACGATAACCCTATGAATTAACATGCATATTTCATTTCCTCTTAATTTACTAAATTGTTACCCTATCCAAACATATTATAATTACATTTATTATCATCATTTATAACAAATCAACAACAAAACAAATTTCACTCCACATGCAACAACACAACACATCACACAAGTAACAAAACAATGACGCTAACTATGACTTTCCTGTGTAACACCTTTCTCCCTCACAGATACCATGCACCATTTCAGCAACACCAGATATTATTAGAGTCATATGCAAAACAATATTTTTACTAATTCAACTGGTAAAACCAGTAATAAAGATTTGCAAACAGCATATACTGCACATATTTTATGTCAATTACATCATGTACATGTACACTCAGAATCTTTGATCCAATTTAATGAATGGTAAGAGAATTGAATAAAACAAAAGTCTGTCTTCAAAAGGGAGTAAACAGACAAAGAACAATATGTAATCTTGCTGTAAAATAAACCATTGCTTGAATGAAAAGGGTCAGTAGTTGGAAAGGTACAGCGTACTGAAGATGACTGAACGGCAGAAGATGAGTCTAAATACTAAATGATAAAGATCTTTCACCCACTAAAGCTAAATTAGTTTGCCAGGTACAATCAATAAGTGGTTTAAATGTATGTATAGCATGATGTAATATGTTTTTCTCCTTCAGAATTTTATTTGTACGTGTCATCTATCTTGCTTTAGGTTTTTATACATGTGCAATTAGCAGGGAAAAAAGGGCAGTCTGGTGCCAACACCTAAATCTCTAATGTATATGTTACATGATTAAATCTGATGATTTCTCTTCAAACATACAGAAATATATTAGGATTATTTGTTACAAAACTCGTTTTTTGCAATAGACACTAATCAATCAGTCCATAGTCAAGTGCAGACTGTAGGCACAACACCAAGAACTTTAGCAGTTTCTCCAGACTTTACATTTAGCCTGGTTATTAGTTGGTCTTCTGTAGAATTAGTCTAGTAAGAAAGAGAAGTTGTGTTAGTATCAGTTACTTTACATTATACAGCAAGTATACATCAACAGCTCCCATCTCTTGCTGTAAACCTGTTTACTAACCTGTAAGTACGAAGCCAAGCCAAACGACAGAAAAGCATACAAATTCATTTAAATATATGATACAATTTTATCACATTTGCACAAGCAGGAAACACTGCACTAAGTGAACAAGTCCTTAAAGAAGAAAACAACGAAAACAAGGGCATAACACTCCATAAGCATTCGTGATTCTGAAGCATTAACGATACATCGAACAGACGTATTTCTCACAGCGTAGTCTCCTTCTTTACGGGGCCGTGTGGGGTCTCTAGATGGCAGCCTACTGGGTACGCGATGCGTTCCTTGCGCCAGGCCCTCCTTGTTGTCACCATATCGGATTTCACACTCGTACGTAGTCATGATGGGTAGCACTAGTCAAGGGAAGACCTTAACAGTAAATATCCTCAAATTAAGACTACTAAAACAGTCGATTTCGACAATACTTAGAAACGAAGCCGAACTTTATTAAGAGCGGCATTCCCCTTGTATTCCTTACCTGTAACATATTTCACAGTTTCGTTTTCCCAAACAAGATGCCACACTAAGCCTTGTTTACTTAAGCATTTATCTCAACTGACCTTATTTCTTAGTAAACACGGGTGTGATTCAAAAGGACATTTGCTGTAACAGGAAGATAAAGTACATCAGTCTCTGTAGCTATTTCCACAGGATGTCCCACGTGACCTAAGCCACTATCTCCGACCTCGCCTACTGCCCCAGCAAATATCTTCACATCCAGAACAGATAACATACGTTGGGTTTCTGATTGTAGATTAATAACGCGATAAAAGAGACAAGGGTTACCAGTCCAGGTTGACAGGCAAGCCAGTCGATAGTGGTGGCTGCTTTATCTTGCAACGACAACTATCAATGCCGATGTTTTTCAGTATTACACTATGAACGTAAGTGCAGCCTTCCTTTAGCACCCCAAAAGACACCTGTGGAGGCTGCAGCTCTAAGCCTCAAAGATTCGCGACTTTCTGCTGATCACCAGTCACAGACACTGTGTGTACACCACGACGCACGGGGTCCTCGATTTTATAGATCTAAAATTTGATTGAAAAAAATAACAGATAATGATCAGAACTTAACATCAATATAAAGAGAGACTGTGTTAACTTCAAGTACCCAGCAATTCGTCACACAAATATTTCTCTAGTATAGAGTAAACTATGATCGTGAAGAAATGAAAAATACAACCTTTCTCGCCCTCCCCGTAAGGTACTAGGCAGTTACAACAAACTGCACATTCCAACAACGCACCGCTCTCACTTCACTAATGTTTGGTTTAAGAAACCCTATGGTTTGACAGAGGAGAGAACATTTTGGCTGCGAGTTTATTCATTCAAATTTGTGCAACAGGTGTCAATTGCAGAAACGCACCTGGCTGTTGGGAAGAGCTCCAGGTTTAGAACTCTTTATACAGCTGGGAAGTTTAACTTTATCTTTCTTAGTTGCTCTGGTAACATCGAGTTACAAACTTCCGGGACCGACGTGCGGCATTTCAGCTGTTAAGAGATAATTGATCCATTCATATAACGTTCTTACCCGATTAAAAAAAGTCATTCTTAGTTTCTCTGGTAACATCGAGTTACAAACTTCCGGGACCGACGTGCGGCATTTCAGCTGTTAAGAGATAATTGATCCATTCATATAACGTTCTTACCCGATTAAAAAAAGTCATTTACTTGAAAACAAAAGCGAATTAAGTAAGTTTCTGGACTCATAACAAGAAGTGACACTATACATACACAATTAACAGGAGTCGCACCACTCAGTTCAGAGAACACAAGTATAGAATAGCACAGCACAGCACAGCACAGCACAGCACAGCACAGCACAACACAGCACAGCACAGCACAGCACAACACTGCATAGCAATGCATGACATGATAAACTGTTGCAATAGAGCCCCACCTGAAACAATTAGACCGTTTTCATAGCCATCTGGGTCTTTTAGTTCGATGGGTCCTTCCAATCTCTCCTCTTGTGACGAGGGGGACTTTCCACTGTGGGGAGTCCCCCTGGAGAGAGGAACCTTGGAAAAGAGGCTCAGAGGCCTGGAGAGGTGTTGGATTACTGGGACGAGGATTAGCAGTCGTTAAGGCCTGTCGTGTAGTCGTGAAGGGGTAGGATTAGTTGGACGGACAGTGGTGGGGGTGTCCTTACCAGTAGCAAGCGCAGGAGTGGGATTAGTAGGTCTTATGCCGTTTGGTGTGGCACTTGGTTCTCCCGCGGGATGTGAGGAAAGCTCTCGACTTGTTGTGGGGAGAACAACATCAGGGCTAGAAGCAATTTCGCTTCCTTCATCTGTGGTAAGAGTCAGGGATAATAATAGGTCATCAGTTTCATGTGACTGAAGTACTTCGACCAAAAGAACAAAATAGAAAACAGTTTACAGAAAACTACATGTGCGACAATTCAAAGCACATTTGAAAGGTACAGACTCGTACAATAATCCGAAGAAGTAACAAAGGAAAGCAAATAAACCACAATGGTGGAGAGATAATCGAGTACATCATACCTGTGCAGTCAGACGTGGCGCTTTCCTCGTGCACAACTGTTTCTGGTGTTTCAGCGGGGCTACTTTCTCCAGGGGGTGGACGACGTGCTTGATTTGCTAATTCTGAATTTCAAGCTCCTATATCCGGGACCTTTGGACTGTGAATACCTTTCAGAAACTCTTGCCCTGACATAAAAACAGATGCCACTTCTATTAACACTACGATTGAAATCATTTTACAAGCTGATAATAACTCCATTTTTTCTACATGCACTAACTCATTGACAGCCTCATACCTGATCTCGTCACGAAATAGGGAGGAACTTCTCTGTATCTTAAGGTATGTTTCCCATAATCCAGCTTGGCCAGTTCTATTTGGTCCCGCTCCCACTCTGACAAAGCTCAGAGTTGATAGTTTCCAGACAGACCCTGTCGTCTAAGTGCAAATGTAAAAATGCACAAAAAACAAAATATGGCTTAAAAGTAACATCTTAAGCACCTCCTTTCTAGGGGGGACGAAAACAAACACTACGGGAAATCGTAACAAACTTCAAGTATGCGTCTTTTCAAGCGATTATACAGCAGAAAAGGCCTTCTTAAAAGACACTCTCACCTTCAGATCGGGTGGTATCGAAATCGCCTACACCTTATTGGTTCCCTAAGCAACACCAAGAACCGATAGAAATAACGGAAACTCGATTCTCAAGCCTAACGATCTACGTATAAAAGATCAGAGAAGTAATTTCCACTCGGGAACGGAATTGAGTTTAAAACGCCACTCTTCCTTTCCCTGAAAGACTTTGCTATTGCAACACCATCTTCAAACAACAGCTGAAGAGATTTGTGAAGAGTTGAACCCGTCGGTACTGTTGTAGCTATTATAAACAATTGCACCCATGTCTGCCTTTGACAACTCCCTAGCGGAATACCTTACACCAATTCTTAGTGAAGTAGAAGAGAACGGTATCTCACCACCAAAGACGCTAGATTATCTTCGCAATGACGTAAACTTAAACCATGAAATAAATGCCTTGAACGAAGAGAATGATGACGAAAGCAGCCTTCCACTATCACAACCAAGACCGACACGATAAATTCCGACCCCGTCAAAAAGGAAACAAGAGAGCAGCCCACTAAAACAAGACCTTTTAAAGCGAGGTTTAAAGAGAAAATGCAAAGATCTTAATGCTGTAGAGGCTAAAATACCCAAAACTGAACAATTTATCAAAAAACTTGAGAAATGTTGAGAAAATTGGACTCGTCCGATCTCTTTGCAATATTCGGCGAAGCCAAACATCACGAGGGACATAATCTACGATAGAGAAGTAAAAGAAATAAAACAACAAGCTCAAGCTAGCTTTCACAGAAGAGGGCTAGAGAGGCAAAGAAAAAGGGTTAACTAAGAACTCTGAGCTCGTAAGAACAAACACGTAAATAGGCAACTGCTCAAAGGAAAGCGCTCGTTATAAAATTCAGTGATAAAATAGCCAAATTAAGGAATGAGATTCCTGACCTTAAAGAGCTTATTCATACACTTACAAATAAAAGAGATGGAAAACATAAGTTTGTTTGTTAGGCAGTATACCATCTAGATTGACGAAGAATAAATACATGGGCAACCGTTAATCACACCCCAGAGCGCACGTTGGTACCGGAACTTTAGAATGTGATGTAACCATGCGCGAGTAACGCAACGGTGACATGACATTCCCCCTTGTCAAAAAAAAATTATAGATACAAATACAAACAATTAATGTCTGTAACGTCCAAAACAAAATTAATGTGACCCATTGTTCAATAATAAAAAGATAAAAACATGAACAAGAAGAAAAATGTTCCATAAGCGAGGCACTGAGGATATGGAGTGCTCTTGTGAGGTTGTACTATGTTAGCCCACCTTCTTGTAAAGTGACGGCTTGCTTTTCATACCAGGGCATGACTGGCAATATGAATCTATGTCTTTAGACATGTTGGGCCAGAAAATTGCATCTGGAGCGAAATGAAGGCAATGTTCTCCTCCCCCATGGCATTGGTGGATTTTGCTCAGCATACTTGGTCTGAGAGAGGTAGGGAGGAGGCGCGAGTAGAATTAAGAAGAATACCATTTGCAATGCTGAGTTCTTCACGAAAGTGCCAAAGTGCTTTGAGTTGATGGTGTAGGAACTTCTTGGCAGGTGGCCAACCGTGGAGGTGGTAATCCTGCAGCAAGTGCATGTCAGAGCATGATGATGTGGCACTGCATAGTTGCTCGCAAATGGTATCGGTGAGGGCCGGCGAGGGCCGGTGAGGTGAGGCCCAAGTGAGCAAGATGAACGTGAAACACATGGATGCTGTCCGGCATGGATGGGTTGAAGGCTTCGTCTTGACATGAGGATCTGGATAGGGTGTCTGCTAAATGCAAGAAAGAACCTTTCTCTGTACACAACGGTAAAGTTGTAACGCTGTAGGAAAAGCGTCATCTTCTACAGATGTTTAGGCGCTGAGGCGAGGTCCTTCTTGATGATTGGCTGAAGTGGTTGGTGGTCTATATGGACTGTGTGTTGGATTTTCCCAAAAGCCACGGGTGGAATTTTTTGATGGCTTCGACCATAGCCAGGCGCTTTTTTTCGATTTTACGCTGCTCGTGGTTAGGCCTTCTGCTGTACGCAGTGGGTCGTAGAGAAGACTTGTCAAGGGCACTGATATTGTGTAGTATGATGGGCTGTAAGAGGGCAGCTCCCAGGCCATAGTCTGAGGCGTCCACTAGAAGGATCAGAGGCGCAGTTACGTCAAAGTATGCCAGGCATGCTGTAGAGGTGGCTAGGACTTGGCAAAGGCTTGCTGGTGCCTTGGACCATAGGATTGGTGAGGTTGTATAGAGGTTGGGTGACGCTGCTAAGTTGGGGACAGAATTTGGCCAGGTCATTAATAGCCCCTATGAATCGGGACACTGCTTCCTTGTCGGTTTCGAGTAGACATTAATCATGAAATCTGGTCTCCCAGTGATGGTTAGGATCACGGTTTGATTGCACGGCTTGTACATCGAAGATAGGTTTTTCGTGCTTCAGCATAGCGCAATTGTGAAATGTTGTTGAAGTTTGTGATGTTGCAGAAGAAGCTATTCAAGTGTGCAGTTGTGTCTACGGGAAGCTGGCTTGCGGTAAACCATGTTAAGCAGTACGCTTTTTAGATTGACGGAGAATAAACACACGGGCAGCCACTGAGCACGCGTTGATACGGGAACTTGAAAATGTGATGTAATCATTCGTGAGTAATGCAATGGTAACATGACAAGTTCTCTTACTCTAAAAAAGCTGGCTTTAACAACAGCGGAAGCAGAACAAAAAGCATACGACGCAAAGAGCGTAGAAACTCTTTAAAATATAAGCTTTCAGCCAAAGAAAGGGAGACGAACGAAACATTCCAAAAAGATCTCTCAAACTATCATATTTCTGACAGTCAAGTCAGTGTGCTATCAAAGGGTCTCAAATTCATCCCAACACCCGTGACCAACCAGTGTGAAATTAGGCAACAACTCTTGTGAGATTTTGTAGAATTCGCAAGACGAATGCGCGGCTTCAATGCATCTTTCATAGACAAAACAAGAACCACTTCCGTTTCATGTTAAATCAAACTTGATGCCACCGGTTCAGCCTTCTATTGCCTTTTAGAGAAATGTAAAAACACAACTTAGGGAGATTACTGTAACTAAGCCAAAAAATGATTTGTCACGCAATGAGGTCATGGCTTTAAAAGACTCTGCTTTAAACCTCAAAAACGCAGACAAAGGTACAACAGTCATCATGAATAAGACAGAAAAAAATAGAAGAGGCCAAAGTGCAACTCGACAACAGACTTCACAACAAACCTCTCAGATCACCGATAGTAAAAAACACGCAGAAAAGGGTTAATGAGATCATTGACCAAATGCATCGGGGCAAACACATTGATGACATCACTAGGAAATGGCTTTCACAAACTCCCGATCCACCTAGAACATCAATATTCCATAAGCTCTCGAAAATACACAAACCTATACCGGTTGGTAGAAATATAATCTCAGGTTGTTACGGCCCTACCGAGAGAATATCGTCTTTTGTGGAGATACTACTCTAGCTCATGGCGCAATGCAACAATCCCATATGAAGGATATCACTGCTTTTATCAACTTCTTAGAAAAAACAAACGTAGGCAAATATGCTATTCTAGTATCAATGGACGTTTCTAGCTTGTATACAAATATATCTCACGAAGGAGGAACAAATATAGTATGTGAAGCATTTGAAAAGTTCAACAACCATAATGCACCGATCCCAACGCACTACCTCAGGGAAATGCTTGTCTTAATTCTTCAAGAAAATTCGTTTCAATACAATGAGGTAAACTTCCTCAAACACATGGAACCGCTATGGGTACGGAAATGGCAGTGCCCTTTGCCAATATTTCCATAGTGGAAATTAAAACGAAAATAATCCAACATAGCAAAACCGAGCCAAGAAAATGGAAACGATATATTGATAACGTTTTCTCCCTTTGGGATTGAGACAGGAAAGAGATAGATCAGTTTATTAAACGAACTAACTATTTTCACTGTACTATCAAGTTCACAGCCGAAATATCAGAGAACCAAATCACTTTCCTAGATGCCACAGTGTTTAAAGGGGAAAGATTCGCAAAAGATTCCATCTTGGATATCAGAACCCAATACAAGCCGACCGAGACCTTCCAATTTACGCACTTCATCTCCTGCGACCCACCAGGCGTAAAACATGGTTTCATTAAAGTCGAAGCAATAAGATTGCTCAGGACATACTCTTCGAAAGAAATATTGGAAGAGGGCTTTCTAAATTTCAAACAACGCCTCAAAGCAAGAGGTCACTTAGAAAACATCAAAGAAAGGTCTCTGTCAGGGCAGTTGGCTCTTACACATTCACAAAAACCATGGTCACGAACGTTTATTGCCTTTTGTCACAACATACAACCCGGCCGTTAAAAATTTAAAACAAATATCAATACAAAATTGGAGTAACCCTTGCTGAAAGCAATCTTTTCAAAACCTCCGACCATCTCTTTCAAACAGAGAAAATCGCGTTCGTAAGAGAAAAAATTTAATGTGAGGGCACTAACGTGACGCAACCACAAAAGCCACATGGGGAGTCCTTGCAAACCTGTTCTCACCTGAGCTAACAAGCCAACTGGGAGCTGATCATTAAGTTGGTTCCAAGTAAACCCTCCAAATGGTAAATAATGACTGTAAATATATGGAAATCATATGTGTGCACCGTGGTTGTTAGCTCACTTGTTAGAGCGCTGCACCGGTATCGTAGAGGTCATGGGTTCAAATCCCTTATGGGCCTGAATTTTTTCAGGCCCTATTTCAACTTCTAGTTCAGTAGTGTTCAAAACTGCGAGGATCACCTCTATGTTCATTATTGCCTGCCACCTAATTTTCTTTAA